GGGGGAAGGAAAAAAAAAGGGGGAAGGAAAAAAAAGGGGGGAGGGAAAAAAAAGGGGGAAGGAAAAAAAAAGGGGGTAGGAAAAAAAAAAAAGGGGAAGCCGTTCTGTCCCAGGGCCAAGCAATTTCCTGCTAAAACGAGCGGAGAAAGCTGTGTCTCGGCCCCACCTGGTGGACAAAGCTCTAGGGATGGGAATGCACAAGGAAAGCGCTGCAGGTGACCCAACCTCCTGCATAAGATTCCAGGTGAGGGAGAGACAACTCACTCCCAGACATCCATCAGCTGCCCAGCTCCCGCCGGGCTGCTCCGATCAGCGGCTGGAAAGGGCTTTCCTCGCCCCTTATTTCGTGCTACAAAAAAGTCCTGGGATCATTTCAAGTATTTCGGATCAAGGACTGGCGCCCCAAATTCCATTTGCCGCTCTGTAAAGCTGCGCCAAGGCCACCCAGCTGGGAATTCTCTCATCCTCCCCTGCAGTGACCGGCTCACCCGAAGCCTTTTCAGCTCATCCAACCCCGCGTGTTACAACCGGGTTGTTCCCGTTGGGTGCTTCACTCAAGGGGAATTTCCAGGGAGCGGGTCGTGAACCCCCAAAAATGAACCAGAAGCCTTACGGGCAAGCCGACAGCACCTGGACTGACCTCTAACAGCTGGATTTTCGGATAAACACCGCGACTTTCCTTCTGGAGGCACGTAAATAACAAAGCGAGGGGAACGGCGGTCGCAGACCAACTCTGCAGCTCTCCCTCCCAGCCATTCCCTCCTCCAAAGGCGGGACCGGGAAGGCACAAGGGCAAATTGAGGGCAATAACGCCAATATCGGTAAACCCGGGATAAAATAAACGCCAACACCGGCAACACCGGCCTTTCCGCACGATTTCACAGCCCCGGCCCCGCAGCAGCGCCCCGGGCAGCGGGAGCGCACCAAGAGCGCTCGGAGCAGCTGCTCAGCTCCGCCCCGGGCAGAGCGCGGCACCGGGAACATCCCGTTCCCGAGGACGCCGGGACAGGGAGGGAAGGGGCCCGTCCCGAGCCGTCCCGCGCCCACGACCTCCTTCTCCGACGCCTTCTCGCCGACTCCCAGCAGCCCGTAGAGGTCCAGCTCCAGCAGGTCCTTATCGACCGCCATCTCCGCGCTCCCCGGTGCCGGTCCCGCTCCCGGTGCCGTTCGTTCCCTTTCCCGGTGCCGCGGCCGGGCCGCGCCGCTCGCTGGGAAACGTAGTCCCCAAGCGCTGCCGCGCCGCGCGCCGCCCCCGCAGGTGGACTACAATGACCGTGATGCATCGCGCGCTCCCGCGGAAGAGCGCGTCTGACGTGCGCCGCGCGCCGCGTGGTGCGCCGGGTGTTGTAGTTCCCTTTGCGGCGCCTGTGAGCGGGGAAAGGCGGGAGGAAAACTACAACTCCCGTCGGGCTGTGCGCGAGAGCCGGCGCGCCCGTGACAGCAAGTTCATCGAGGAAAGCCGGTTCGGGACATGGAGTCCCAATGTCCCCCCCACCGCTGACCGCGTCCCCAAGTGCACAGACACATCCATGTGGTAGATCCCTCCAGGGGTGGTGACTCCATCTCTTCTCCGGGCAGCCTGTGCCAGTGCGGGGTGCTGCGAGCCCAACTACAGCCCGTTCCCAAAAGCATCCTTGTTTTTGTTGTTCCCAAAAAGCATCCATCTCAGCCCAAGGCACGGCTCCTTGGGAAATTCCTCTTGTCTTCTTATTGACCTAAGATGCCTTCCTTTTTTTCCACGCAGTTCTGAGTAGGAAGCACTAGTCTATCCAATTATTCCATTACATAGGAGATGGAGTTTTTTCAGTTTTTATTCGATTATTGTAGAAGGATTTGTGTCCTTGCTGGCTGAAGGACTAAGAGCCTTCAGACCATTTATTTTAATCAGCAATATTAACAGACCTGAGATCATGAAGAAAACTGGGTAAATGTGAATCCAGCAAAGTGTATGTTTGGGAGATGTTTTCTAACCTAGCAGCGCAATGAAACCCAAGAATTCTGGGTCCGTCTCCATGGAGCTTCACCCAAGGAGAGCAGGAGCCTTGCTTGTCATAGACTCATAGAATGGTTTGTGTTCAAAGGAACCTTAAAGCCTGTTCAGTCCCATGGGCAGGGACACCTTCCACTATCTCAGTTTGCTCAAGCCCCGTCCAACCTGGCCTTGGACACTTCCAGGGATGGGGCAGCTGCAGCTTCTCTGGGAAATGCACTCCAGTGCTTCAGCACCCTCACAGGACAGAATTCCTTCCCAGTATCCCATCTAACCCCACCCTCTGGCAGTGGGAAGCCATTCCCCCTTGTCCAGTGACTACAGTTCCTGATGAGTCGCAGCCCTGGGTGTGCAGAGGGCACCTGTGGCCATCGTGGTGCCACCTTGGGGACCTCCCTCTGGGGGTCCATTCTGGAGTCCCCTCCTGGGACACCATCTCACCCTCGAAGACACAAAGTATATCTGCTGACACGTGTCCCCAAACCCAGCCACAGCACCCTGGCCCTTCGGGGCTGTCCCTTTGTGACATGGGCGTGTGACGGGGCCGACCTCACCCGTGACGCCGCCACGTCAGAAAGGGCCGTGTCCCAGCATTCCATGAAATCGGGATGGGGGCACAGATCTTCAGTCAATCCCGTGGGGAGACTGGTGGGCAGCAGGCCCCACGTGACAACACCGCTGCTGAGGTGTGGGACGGCCCCGAAGGGACGAGGCGCTGTGGGATTTTTTTGAGGGACGCGTGTCCGCAGAGAACCTTTGTGTCTCTTGCAGGGTGAGATGTCATCGAAGGAGGACTCTCCAGAGCCGGGCACCTCTGCTGCCAGCACCAGCCAGGAGCCACGGGATGGCAGCGAGGAGAACCCCGCCTGCCCGGCGTGCTGGGACATCGACACCAAGTGCTCCAGCTTGTGCTGGCACTGCTTCTGCCGCTTCTGCCTGTGGGATTGGAGCCTCAGCGACGCCGCGTGCCCCCAGTGCCAGCGGCCCATCCGCCACACGTACCCCCAGCACGTGGCCCTGTACCACGAGGTGCAGGACCAGGTGTACGACAGCAAGCAGAGGCAGCTCGGCCGCTCGGAGCAAGGCATGTGGAGCCGCTCAGGACACAGTGGCAGCAGCCACGATGAGCTCCCGGAGCAGGGGCGAAGGAGGTCCTTGAGGTGGCACCGTGACGGCCACCAGTGGTCTCGGCACGCCCAAGGCAGCAGCTTCTTGAGAAGGAGGAGGCGGCGGCGGAGAAGGAGGAGGCGTCAGTGGAGAGGGGATCGGGACAATGTGCCTGGCGAGGGACGAGCTCCAGGGTCCGAACGGGACACCTCAGACTCCTCACGGGGGAGGCAATCCCGGCGCGGGTCCCACATGCCACGGAGCCAAGATCAGCAGGGACGGGCACGGCGCCGCCGCAGCAGACAGAGGTGGCGGAGGAGGAACAGGGAGCGTTCCCACAGCTGGCACGGGCAATGGAGCAGGTCCCGCAGGCAACGCCGGGACACCCAGACATCGTCCTCAGGAACGGAGCCCCACAGTGACTCCTCGAGGCAGAGGCACTGGAGGAGCAGGAATGCTGGTGAGCAACGAGCTCCAAGGCACCAACAGCACATCCCAGACTCCTAAGGGAGGAACCGGTACCGGTGCAGGACCCAGAGCCATGCAGGGCACAGGACCCAATAGCCCACCCTTCCAAGAGGGGAAAGGCCACACTCAGTCCTGGCACAGGACAGCCCAGAGTGTCCAGCCAGCCTTCTGTGATCTCCCAGCATGGAGCCACCAGATCCTCTCTGGGCATCCCGTTCCGGGGTTTGACTCCCTCCGAATAAACAAATGTCACTTTAGCCAGCGCTTCCTTTATTTCCCTTTGTGCTTTTTGCTGTCTCAGGAGCCTCCACAGGTATTTTGGAGCACCCCAGGCCGTGGGGGTGCCTTGGGTTGCCCTCATGAGCCCTATCCTTTCCCTCTCTGTGCTCCCTCCAGCCCCATCATGTGCCTCTGTGGATCAAGGAAGGAGCAGTTGTTCTCCCCACATCCCCACAGGCTCTTCCCCTCTCCATGCCCCAGAATTCCACAGCTGAATTTGATTTATTTGGAATTTTTTTTTTTTTTTTCCCTCCAATTTTATCTGGGGAAACTTTACTGGGAAAAGCTGAAAGCCCTTAGCATTTTTTCAGCAGAGCCACGCCTTGGTACAGGAACATTTTCCACAAAAAAAGGTGTAGCTGATACCATTCAGTGCTGGAGGTGCCTGAGCCCTGCCCCAAGGCCAAAACTTGCCCTTCACTTCCCTCCCAGCTGTCACCCAGTCCCTGTCCCTAAGTCCCAGCCTTTGGAATCACCCCAATAACCTGCACTGTCCCATTTATCCCTCACTTGGGATATCAGTGTAGTTGATAATCTCCCTAAATGCACGTTCAGCACGTGGGACATGGATTTTGCCAATGGATACATCCTGTGCTGGATGGAAGGAAGCTGAGCACACTGGATCCCTCTTGCACTGCTAGAAATAATTGGGAACAGAAGCCATAAGATTCAACAAATGGTGAAAAACAGGAGCTGGGGCTCACAGGGCTCAGTGCTGAGCTCTGGAGCTTGTGGGCAAGGATCCTGGATGCCCACATCATGCTCTGGTAGAGCCACTCCTTTCCTTGAGTGAATTTATTTTTCTTCCACATAAACCTGCTTCAAATAGATCCGGAGTTCACCCATATTCCCAGATTATCCTCAAAGGGGGGCTCTTGCTACCAGAGACTCCTGGCAAACACACCCAGTGTCCGGTGGGAGAAGCGAGGAGCGCTGGGCACAGGAGGGGGCCACACACAGGAGCAGAACTATCCTGGTAATTTTTCCCTGGATTTACTTTTCTCATTAAATCCCAAACTTCCCATTTGGTGTAAGCTGAACAGAGCTGTCCTGTTTAGTTTTCCCTGGATTTACTTTTTTTTCCACTCAGTACAAAACTTCCCATCGGGTATAAGCTGATGTTTGTTTATCTCCCCCGAAAATCCACTCCCTGGCCAAGGCAGCCCCTCTGAGCACCTTGCCAGGGATCTGGAAACGCTGGATGTGTCCACCTAAACAAACACTCACACAAATATGTCAATGGGAAAACCCTGGAAAGATACAGGTGAGCATTCATTGTGGGTGGATGGTGGTGGCAGAGCCATATTGCTGCTATTTCTGGATAACAGCGAGTAAGAAAACTCAAACAATTTCTCCTGAAATAAAAAAAAAAAAAACAAAAAAAACCAAAATAAAGGCTCTTGGAAAAGTGCAAACAGTCTGGAAGTGTCAGGGAAGAGCCTGTGGCCAGCGCTGCTCTCCGAGGTCACCGTCCAGGAGCTGCCCAGGCTGGATTCAGGAGGTCTTTACGAACACGGGCACCTCGGCCAGGCTGGCAGAGTAATTCCTGAGGATGGTGCCTCCATCAAACACACGGGCAGAGCTGGTGTCCAGCCAGAGGTGCCCTTCTCCAGGCAGGAAGACATCCCTCCATGTTTGTCCTTTTTCTGTTATCGGAGCAACCAGGACCTGCAGTGAAAAAAAAAAAAAAAGAAAGAAAAAAGAACTTTAGCAGGTGGTGGATTGGGCAGGATGTACGTGTGGGGATGAGATGGTCACCAGGGAATCCTGGAATGGTTTGGGTTGGAAGGAACCTTAAAGCCCATCTCATTCCACCCCCTGCCATGGGCAGGGACACCTTCCACTATCCCAGGTTGTTCCAGTCCCATCCAACCTGGCCTTAAAACTATTTTCCCTTGTTTTACGGGAAAAGCCGTATCCAGCATTCTGAGACTATTGATTCCTGCTAAATCATTTCGCTCCCAAAGCTGAAAGAGGTTTCCAGGGCCCTGAATAAGAGTTCTGTGAAGAAAGCCAAGCTTTTCCGAAAAGGAAAAACCCCAAACCCACATCAACCAGCTGCTTTGGCTTGCATTTAAATCTGCCTGACTACAAAGCTCCGGTTTGTGTTTCGGCAGAGCTGGGCTCACAGGATGGTGCAGAATTCCCACCTCATCTCCAATGAGAAATTCATCCTCTATGGTGAAGGCGGTCGGATCCGTGGGGCTGAGCCACCAGGCTGGACGGAAGATGGGGTGTCCCAAACTCTGCCACTCCTCGCTGTATTTGAGGAGGAGCGGCAGCACAAAGTCCCGGTGCCTCTGGATGCATTGGCGGGTCAGGTTCAGGACCTGCAGGGTCAGAGGGAGATCCGTGAGGAGCCTGACACCCAGGAAACAGCAAAGCAGGCAGGGAAAAATGAAAATAAATAAATAAAAATTTTATATATATATATATATATATATATATATATATATATATATATATATTCCCTTGGGAAGAGAGGTGACTGAGTTCCAATGTCCTGATCAAGTTATGGCAGCCAGCAAGGTACAAACAGGGTTGATATTGGATATTAATTTATGTGGATATAAATCCACTGATAACAGGTTTAACTCAATTGATAATGCATATGAATCCATTGGATTTAAATGGTTTAAATCCACTGATAGTGGATGTGAATCCATTTGAATTAAATCCATTATCAATGGATATAAACCCATTGTATTTAAATGTATTTAAATCTTTTTATAATGGATATTGGTTGGATTTTAATGGATTTAAATCTATTGATAATGAATATAAATCCATGGGATTTGAATGGATTTAAATCCATTATAATGGATATTAATTAACTGGATTTAACTGGATTTAAATCCATGGACAGTGGATACAAATCCAGTGGATTTACATGGATTTAAATACACTGACAATGGATCTAAATCCATTGTATTTACATGGATTTAGATCCCTTGATAACTGATATAAATCCTCTGGATTTAAATGGATTTAAATCTATTGATAATTGGTATAAACCCATTGGTTTTAAATCTACTGATAACCCATATGAATCTGCTGCATTTAAATTGATAAAATCCATTGATAATGGATATGAATCCATTGGATTCAAATGGATTTAAATCCATTGATATTGTACATAAACCCCTTTGATTGAAATGGATTTACATCCATCGACAACTGGATATAAATCTGTTAACTTAAACGGATTTAAGTGGATTTAAATCCACTGATAACGGCTATGAATGCACCCGATTTACGTGCATTTAAATCCACTGATAATGGACATAAATCCTTTCCATTTAAATCCCTCGGATCTTCCTCATGAGAGAGCCGGTGTTGTCCTGGTGAGGGTGAGGGATACACACCCAGGAGTCACAGCAGAGCCAGGGTGGGGACCCGAAGGCCATCACGGGCAGGAAGGTCACGATCTGCAGCCACCGCACAAACAGCTCCGGGTCCCCCGCGGAGTCACCGGCCAGGCTCCCTCCTGCGGCAACACAGGGCTCAGTGGGGCTGCTCAGGGGCCTCCCACGGGAAAAGGCGGCTCCTGGGAACACTTAGAGCCCCTTCCAGTGCCTAAAGCCCCCCCGGGAGCCGGGGCATCCCTGGGAGCCGTCGCTCCGAAAACCTGCCACAGCTTCCCTAGAAACGGCACGAGCCGAGGGCTCTCCCAGCCACCCACAAATGCCCATTTCCCCCAGAGGCTTTTCCCAGATTTTGCAGCTCTCAGAATGCTGGGGACACAACCCAAGGTGCCACGTGCCCCAAAAGCAAACACCCCAACCCCCTCCATGCAGGGGGACCTGCGCTCCCGTCCTGCTTCCCTGGAATAAACTGATGGGTTCAGTGTCCATTGGGGTGGGAACTGCCGTGCTGGGATTGCCTGAGCCACATTTTCTAAGGAAAACAGGCTAAAAATAGAGGCCAAATTGAAAAATTGCTTCCAACCCCTATTTCAGGGCGGTTATTCAGCTCCATTCTCCAGGTCTGAAACCCCGTCCGCTCCAAGAAAAGGGGCAACAATCCGCTTGGTCCTGATTAGAGGTTGTTTCTTGCCTTTTGTAACGTGTTTATTTAAGGATTTCTCCAGCCATTGTGCTTTGGGGCAGAAAGGCAAACTTGGAGCAGAGCTGCTTGAGCTTTAGGAACATCCATTCCCCAGCCAGGAGCCTGGGGATGTGGATCCTGGCTAAGGGCTCCCTCCTGGCTGTACCGGGTGGGATTTAGCCCAAGCCAAGCCCTGTGGGGGTGGGTTGTGGTGGAGCTCTGCAAAGGGCATCCCCAGAGACCCGGCTGCCGATGGGGCTGCCTGGTAATATTTACAGCATGTTCTTTTGTTTTTAATTCCTCAGCTGATTCCCTGGTAACGTTCATCCCAACCAAACCAGCAGAACGGAAAATCGGGGAGCAAAGTGCTCCAAGCCTTCCCATAGCACACCTAAGGTGCAAATGCACCTCCTGCCTCGAAAAACTCTGCAAAAATCACTGAGGAAAAGGCAGAAATAACGAAAAAAACCCAAACAAATCCTTACCTACAGTGTCAGGGATGAAGAAGTTGTAGCCCAAGAGGCTGTAGTGCAGCACGGAGGGGATCAGCCCCTTCAGCCCCGCGTGGCTCCAGTCGGAGCGCAGGGGGCTCATCTGGACGAACAGAGGGAGGTGACTGGAGCTGGGGAGACAAAACAAACCCTTAGAGGTGCTTAGAGGGCTCACAGGAGCCAAAATTCCACAATGCCTGGCTGGCTTGGCAGTCACTGGGGTCAGATAGAGAATCCTGGAATGGTCTGGGTTAGAAGGGACATTAAAGCCCATCCAGTCTCACCCCTGGCCATGGGCAGGGACACCTTCCACCAGCCCAGGTTGCTCCAAGCCCCGTCCAACCTGGCCTTGGACACTTCCAGGGATGGGGCAGCCACAGCTTCTCTGGGCAACCTGTGCCAGGGCCTCACCAACCTCAGATCCCACGTGGATCATCGAC